GCAGCCAATGTCTGGCCAAGAACAACTGAGGATTTGAGAAAACTAAAGTCAGAAGTTAGCCTTGAGCTGGAGACGGAAGAACCAAAACCACTAAAATTTGAAGTGAAGAGCAAAAAGAGGAAAATCGCAGGTCTGTTGCTAGATAATAGAAATTCAAGCCCCACGGGAATTCGATGAAGTGCGAATTCCCTAGATAGGGGACTCTAGAGAACACTATTCTTGGTGAGGGGCATGCACGAACGCAGAGCTCATCTCGGCGAGTAAGAGAGACTCCTGAGCCTTTAGTAATGAAATTAAAGACTCAAATATATAAACATAACCATCAGGTGGGTAAATGAAGCCCTTAAGATTCACCAGTCCTCTCCTTCAGACCACAGGAACAACTTGGGGAGATAGAGGAGCCTTGAATCCCGAAGTTCTATCGCCGACATATAGAGCTATTACACGATAAAATTTCTGACTACAACTGTGGTGAGAAGGCGGAATTTCAAGAAAAACAATTAAGCGTAACGCACGGCAGGACACTTCATCCGGCATAGGCCTGAATCCTGTCAACCGGCGGTGCCTGCTAGAGACCGCAAGGCAGCCGTGGGGGAGTACGGGCTCTACTGGGGAAACCAACGTTTTAAATCCATAAAGATAATCATTTAACATTTTTGTAAAGCGAGCAGTTTTATCGGAGGCAACGAATATAAAGGCTACGGCCTGCGGCTGCTCTATGGCTAGGAGGGGGCTGGGGCCACCTGCTTCGGCTGTTCGTGCCATCATCTGCAGCGCCGCACACACTAATATTTTATGTTTGTTTAGATGCGCTTTAATTTCGTTTTAATACTTACTTATAAGTCACTCATTGTTTGTGACGGACCCTACCGTCTGTGACCGTGTCCTTCTAGTTGTCTGGACGCGCCGTGCACGGTCTCTGCCCCTGCCTCTCATGGTTTCTTCTATGTATTTGCCACCCTGGAATCAAAACTGGGTTTAATATATGAGGAAAAAGAAGACGTTGTTTCGAACCAGCGTTGCCCGTTTTTCTGTGCAGCAGCAGCACTAGGAGAAGTCCCTCCATAGATACTTTATCTCCTTGCTGTTGCTGGCGTTACCGCTGCTGCCGTTGCTGCCTCGCTCGGACCGTCCACAGGAGTCCTAATTGACCCCCTGTTTGTGCAGAGCTGCTGGCCTTTAAGGGCCCCCGAGGGGCTTATTGGTCTGCAGGACACGGGGAGTCCTGAGCTGCTGCTGCTCCCCACTTGGCTCTGCTGCTGCTGCTGCAGCGTCGGCAGCGCTGCAGGTCCCTACTAAAGAGGCTATCCCTAGGCTACGCAGTTTCGCAGCCCGTCGTTTCTGGGGAGTCCCAATCAGCAGCAGCAGCAGCAGCAGCAGGAAGGCCAGCACCAGTTTGGGCGCCAGCTCCGGCGCAGCAAGCAGGCGCATCACATATAGCAGCAGCAGCAGGAGCAGCTGCCGCTATGTCTTGCAGCTACAACGCCTCATGGGCCCAAATAGGGCAAGTCACCTCTTTTTTTCTTGTCTTTTTTCTGCTGGGCTCCCGCTTTTTCCCCAATGTTGCCGAAACAGCAGCAGCAGCAGCTGCTGCTGCTGCTAGCGATACAGAAGAGTATCCGGACTATTGTTTGAAGGAATGGACAGTGCGGGAGAAGCGAGTGCTGCCTCCTCTCAGCTCAGAGGCTCAAGCGCTTAATTTGCGGCTGCAGCAGGTGGGCCTATCCCCGTGCTGCTGCCACTTTTCAGCGTGCCTATTCTCTATAGAGCCTTACTATTCCTGCTGCTGCCACTGCTGCTGCTGCTGCGCTGCAGGTACATGCTCTCGTGCGGCACGGCGCTAGGGCTCCCTACGACAGACACTGCTGGCGTTGGGCTGATGCTGCTGACTCGGACTTGCACACAGGCAGCAGCAGAGACAGCAGCAGCAGAGACGGCAGCAGCACCGATGGCAGCAGCTTCAATAGCAGCAGCAGCAGCAGCAGCACAACCCACCGCCACGTGGGCCTGGCCCCAGAGCAAGACGCCCTAAAAAGCGATGCAGAGAGGTGCCCCCCGGTGGGTCACCACAGACAAGGGGACTGCGCAGCAGCAGCAGCAGCAGCTGATGCTGCTGCAGCAGCGTGGGAGGTGCATTCGGACGCAAGTGGCACAGCTGCTGCTGCTGCTGCAAGGGAAGCCCCACATTCCAGCAGAGACTCCGCCACTCGCGATCTGCGCGCTGAAGGCAGCAGCAGCAGCGGCAGCAGCAGCAGCGGCAACAGCAGCAGCAGCGAAGCCTCTTCCCCTGCAGACGCTGCTAGAGACGCCGCTGCTGTAGCTGGAGCAGCAGCAGCAGCAGAAGCACCTGCAGCGTCGACAGCAGCACCACCAGAAGAGCTCGGACCTCCTTGGGAGTGCGCCATTCAAGAAGAGCTGGGCATGAATGACTCAAGTAGGCTGCTGCTGCTGCTATGTGCACTGCTGCTGGCTGTGGCATTGCTGCTGCTGTTGCCGTTGCTGCTGCTACTGCTGCTGTAATTTCTCTCCCTTTCCGCTTGTTCGCTGCGGGTCTTGTTGGATTCCCTGCTGCGCTGCCGGTGCATTGGCTTTTTCCTCAGCCGCTGCTGCTGCATGCTGCTGCTGCTGCTGCTGCTGCAGGGTCGGACCAGCTGTCTACGCCGCTGCTGCTGAAGAAGTACGTGGCCAGCGTGACGGAGAAGGGGCTCTTCAGGGGCAGCTGCGTCCCCTCGAGTCTGTTAGACGAGGGCCAGACGCAGCTGAAGCTGGTGGGTTCGATTCTGAGTCAGGCGTACGTGGTGCCTGCGGCTGCAGCGCACCCCAAGCAGCAGCAGCAGCGGCTGCTGCAGCAGCAGCAGCAGCCGCCGCAGCAGCAGCAGCTGGTGCACCCTTTGTTTCACGCACAGGAGCTGTGCGCTGCTCCCGGGGACCGCGTGCGGGTGCGCTCCACTGACATTTCCCGCACGCTGGCCAGCGGGGCCTTTTTGCTGCAGTCCTTCTTCAGCTGCTGCGGGACTTCGCCGCAGCGGGTGGAGGTCGAGACCCACGAGGTGACCTCGGACCCGCTGCTGTCGGGGTACGCTTCGCCTGTGGTGGCTCGGCTGCGGCGGCAGGCGGAGGCCAGCAGCGAGTTTGCTGCTCTTGCTGCGCAGCAGCAGCAGGCCAAGCAGCAGCTCATGGAGGCTTTGCGGCTCTCTGCAGACGAGCTGGAGGCTCTCTGGCCTGAAGTCATTGTGGACTGTGCCCTCACCTACGTCTGCAGCGGCCGCAAGAAACTGCTGCCGCCGCTGCTGCAGCAGCAAGACGGAGCCCTGCTGCAACAGCTGCTGCGCTTCAACGACCAGATCACCAGCTTCTGGACCAGCTGGGCAGACGCTGCTGCTGCCTACGCTGCAGCAGAGCCCCTCTTCCACGAGCTCTCCACCAAAATTCTCGCTCCGATCCGCCGGCAGCAGCAGCAGCAGCAGCAGCCGACCCTGTCTCTCTACATGACTCACGACGTCACCCTCATTGCAGTCTTGGCTGCTTTGAAGGTCTACGGCGGCATCTGGCCCCCGTATGCATCTGTCGTAGTCTTCGAGGTCTACGAATACCTGCCGGAGCAGCAGCAGCAGCAGACGCAGCAGAGTAGCGGCGCCGCGAAGAGCGCTGCTTCGTACGTCTTCCGGCTGGCTTACAACGGGTGAGTTCTTTTTCAGGAGCTTAGATGCTTCTGTCTGGCTGCATAAACTGCAGGCAGTCTCAGCATTAGCAGCAGCTCAAGCAAGAGCCCCTGCGCTAGGGGCGGCGCGAGCTGCAGCTGCAGGGGCAGCAGCACTGAGCAGCAACCAGCGCGCTAGCAGCAGCAGCAGCAGGCGAAGCAGCAGCGGCCGGACTGCTGAGCCTGTGTTGACTTCTTTGGCTGTCTGTGTCTTTTCAGGAAAGTGCTGACGGGCAAAATGCCAGGCTGCGTCGGAAAGGCGCTTGTTGCTCCTGACCTCTGCAGCCTCGAAGTGCTGCTTCGCCGCATGCAGACCCGGCCCCCCATGCCCCCAATGGAAGACGAGCAGCAGCAGCGTCAGGTGCAGCAGCAGCAGGAGCAGCAGGGGCCGCGGCCGCAAAAGCAGCAGCAGGAGGCACCGCAGCAGCAGCAGGGGCAGCGGCAGCCGAAAGAGCAGCAGGAGCCGCCGCAGCAGCAGTTAAACCAGCAGCAGTTGCAGCAGCAGAAAGAGCAGCAGGAGAGAGAGCAGCAACTGCGACTGCAGGAGGAGCAGCAGCTGAAGCGGCAGGAAGAAATGTAGCAGGTCGTTTTATAAGCGCTTCGTAGTTTTTGAGTTGTGTTTAAAAGTCTGCATTTTGTTTTGTGGGGAGGCAGGAGAGGCGCTGGGATCGGGATTGCCTCTCCTCCGCCTCCTCCTTTTGCTTCCTTTTGCCTTATTGTCTCCAGTTGGGCAAACAGCTCAGAGGCCTCGTGCCATTAAGGCCCTTTGGCTGCTTCCGCAGCGCAGCGGAATTGCACTGAGAGTCTATGGCGCCCCAGGAGACTGAGACCCAGAGGGAGAAGAGCCCGTAGCAGAGAAAGAGGGAGGGTCTAGACACAATAGGAAAGTTGCTGCAGCAGCTGCCTGCTGCGCTGCAGCAGCGCAGCAGGCAAGTAGTGCAGAGGGTGCGGCCACAGACTGAGACAAGAGGGCAGATGTGCCTGAAGAGAGGCCCGGGGAGGCGCCAATGGCCCGGCGGATCAGCAGGCAGCAGCAAGAAGGCTTTGCTGCGAACAAGGAAAATTCAAAAAGAAAAATGCATTTTCTGTGACAAACTGGCAGTTGCTTTGGCCTTCGAGCCGCGCTGATAGCCTTGCTCTGCTGCTGGCTGCGCGCCCGCAGCCACCTCGGAAGTAGAGGCAGCAAAGGCTGCAGTCTGGTTGGCAGAACTGCAGCAGCTGGCCCTATTTCCCGGCGGCAGCAAAAGCGGCGGCACCTGCAGCAGTAGAGGCGCGCTGAAGGTGCTGTGATGGGGCAGCCCTAGCTTGGTGCTGCGTTGCTCTGCTGCACGGGCACATCTATGAGCAGCAGAAAATTAGCTCCCGCTGCTCCCGAATTTGCCCTTGCGTCGCCCGCTGCAGCAGCAGCTGCGTCAGCAGCAGCAGCAGGAGACCCAGTTTCTTCGTCGAGCTCTATGTCTGCCAGGAGTTCTGTTGCAAAGGTCGGACTGAAGCTGTCGAGGGCCCCCTTGCTCGCCACCTCTCCTTCCTCCTGTCTCAGGCAGCTGCGCTGCGAAGCAGCTTGCTGAGAGGGGATCTGCAGCTGGTGCATCTCACGGGGAGAAGGCGGCAGGGGGGAGTAGAAGCCTTCGATTTGCTGCAGCGGGTGCGGCTGCAGCTGCAGCTGCTGTCCGTGCACGTGGTGCAGCAGGTCTTGGTCATAGAGGGGCAGCGGGCAGTTCACTAGGGAAACAGCAAACGAAGGCACAGCCTCTCCATAGCCCAATATCCCCTGCTGCTGCGTGGCGTCGGGGGTCCTCCGGCTGCTGTCGTAGGGGCAGCTGCCCGCGGCCGGAGAGGCTGCTGCTTCCCGTGGCTCTGCAGCGACAGCAGAGCACTAGGACAGGTACAAACTAGACCCAACTAGCCAAACTGGGGAATGTGCTACAATACACTAAACACTTCAAACTCGGCCGCTTTCTTCACTTTCTAGGCTTGGGCTACGAGCATGCAATGCTTCAAGCCCTCAGCGTGAGTGGGGAACTGAGAAGCCTCCTGCCCGTGCACGGATAGTCGTGCACGGTGAAAAGCTTCGGCCGAGGCATCTTTAGCTTTGTTTCATTGGTTCGACCGTTGGTGAGTCTGAAGAGGCCGTTGCTGCAACGCTGGCGCCTTTGTGCAGCCATCTACGCCTCCTAGTTACCGGAGCAATAATGCTTCATACAATTATGTTTTACCTATAAATCGTAAGGGGCTCTACACAGTACTTCTTTGTAGGCTCTGCTGGGCCTTGTGTACAAAAGAAAAGCCTTAAGCCTAAGTCAGGGGAGTGCTACGCAGCAGCAGCTCTCCGCGGGCGCCGCGTATTGAGCAACAGATACGAGCCTCTCCCCCTCTGGCTGCTACTAGAATTTCTTAAAATAAGCTACGGTATCTGTCTCTCCGCCACCTGCTGTAGTTTAAAACCAAAGCTGCGTCGGCCCTTGCCTCCTGCATGGGCGTATTGTCTATTACCTGCTGCGTGCGACAGCTATGGGAGGGAGTGTTGCGTATTACCTGCTGCACGTGACAGCTGGGGGGAGGTCGTGTCTACTGCAGCATCAACAGCTGCCTCCGCTCCTGGCTGCTGATCTCCAACAGCAGTAGCTGGAGGCCCGGCAGAGCGCCGTTTGCAGCAACAGCGGCGCAGCCGCCGGGGCACGCGCTGTAGGGGCCCCATTGCCGAATGTGTGGGTGTGCACAGACTTTAAAGCTTTTGTGGCACGCACTGTCACCTTCTTTGCTGCAGGTAGCAGGTACAGGCGGCAGACACGTAATGTGTTGCTTCCTAAGCAAGAGGCCTGGAGCAGAGCTGTATCTGCTGATCTGCTCTCTCCTACTTGGGCTCAGGGAAGTCCCAAGTACGTAAATTGTAGTTCTTCAAGAGCTGAATTTGATTGTTGCTAAGTAGACAGACACGGGAACAATTGTTGGAAACAGCGAAAATGAGACCCTCAGGGACTGGCTGTCCACTACAGCCCCAAACTGCACAGCACCACCACCACTCGTCTGGGGCTGGTCGTTGTGTTACAGAACAAACCGAGAAATAAAACGGCAGCAAAAATCCCTAAATGCATTAATTTTTTGTCAAAGCGCCACGCTGCAAGGACGCCTGAGGCTCCGGGGGGCCACCGCAGCCTGGACAGGGCAGCACCACGTCTGCTGCCTCTTGGCCTGTTGCTAGAGCCAGCCACGGATCCTACTAGTTTCCTTTTTACTTTGTTAATAGTGCAACAAGGTTCTCAGTTATGAAGTGTTTCTGCGTCTCGAGCTGTTAACCCAGGTACAGCTCGCGCAGTTGCTGCTACAATTTATGCCGCTGTTGCCGTTCGTGATATTGCCGCTGCTGCTGCCACTGCTGTTGTTGGAGTCCCCTCGCAAGGCTTCCCATGGGGACCTTATGATTTGTTCGGAGGCTTGCTAATAGCAGACCACTGCTGCTGCTGCTGCTTGCAAGACACAGCTTCTAAATTGAAACGAGAGTGCACGGCAGCAGGCGAGGCAGCAGCGGCAGCTGTGTCTGCTGCTGCCGCTGCTGCCGCTGCTGCTGACAAAATGAAGCCCTCCAGTAGAGCCCTGTGGGAGAGTGGGACGGAATCACCCCTATCTGAAGAAGGCACAAGCGGCTTCGGCAATCCGGCTCTCAGAAGCAGCGGAGGGGGCCTAGCCTGCAACAAGGGAAATGCCCGCAGCAGCAGCAGCAGTAGCAGAAGGAACAGCCAGGGCAGCAGCAGGAGGAACAGCCACAGCAGCAAGGAAGATGGCAATTTAGACCGCCGGTTGTTTGAGAGGCAGCCGAGGGTCCTTCTGTCCTCAGGGCTGGAGGAAGAAGAGCGCACAGCAAGTGTAGATGCAGCAGCTGCAACTGAAGCAGCAGCAGCAACAGCAGCAGCAGCAGATGCAGACCAGATTTCCGAGTTCTTCCCTTCTTTCCCCCCAGATATGTGTCTCCCTTCCCCCGCTGCTCGGGCGCCCCTCGAAGGCCCTTCTTTAGAGACGGCTGCTTCGAGTGTACGTACACTGGAGAGGTCTGCTGCAGCACAAGAAGGCAGCACAACAGCAGCAGAAGTGGAGGCCTTCGCAACGGCGGCCTGGGGATGCAAGCTGAAGGCCACAGCTTCCCACGTTGCTGGAGCTGGCCTCACTCGCAGAGGCAGCAGCAGCAACAGCGACCTGCTGCAGCAGCAGCAGCTCCTCCTTTCTGAACAGCAGCAGCAACAAGAAGAGCTGGACTCGAGCAACAGCCAGCCGGACTCGGAGTTTACGCAGCTGCATGATGTCTACGCCCTGCAAATTCAGCTTCGCCAGCAGCAGCAGCTGCTGCAGCAGGAGCAGCAGCAGCGGGATCAGGAACTGAGTGCGCTGCGTTCGGAGAAAGAGGAGCTCCTCAGGTGCATGCAGCAGTGCGAAAGCAACTTTGCGGCAAAACAGCAACAGCAGCAACAGCAGCTGCTGCAGCTGCAGCAACAGCTTGCCGATGCGGAGCGGCAGCTTGCAGAGGCTCAACAGCAGCAGCAGCAGAAGCTCCACGCCCAGTCAGTGCTGCAGGATGCTGTAAACAAGGCGGAATCTGCACAGGCCCAGCTACAGCAGCAACTGCAGCAGCAAAGTAAGCAGCAGCAGCTCCTCGAGGAAGAGGAAGAGAAGCGGAGGCAGCAGCAAACGGAAATGCAGCAGAAACATGAGAAGCAGCATGCAGAGCTGTTGCAGCAGCTGGATACACTTAAGAAACATGCTGCAGCCCAACAGCAGCAAGCAGAACAAATGCAGGCAGAGCTGCAGCAGCAGTTGACCTTAAAGCAACGTCAGGTTGAAGAGCAGGAGCAGCATTTGGAGGAGCTGCAACGGCAGCTGCAGCAGCAGCAGCAGCAGATAGAGCAGCAGCATCAGCTAGTTGAGGCTCAAAATTCCCTCATAGAAGATCAGCGGGAGCAAATAAGCGCACAGCAGCAGCAGTTAGATGAGCTGCAACAGTTGATAGAGACGCAAGATAGCTACGCTGCTCAGGTTCGCGATCTGAAGCAGCAGCTCGAGCGCGAGCGGCAGCAGCAACAGCAGCAGCAGCAACAGCAGCAGCAGCAACAGCAGCAGTCCCATGCGAGCCGTATGGAAGCCGAGCTGCGCGCCCGTCTTCTACAGCAGAAGGAGCGCCTGCTGGATCAAGAGCAGCAGCAGCAGCTGCTGCTGCAGCAGTCTCTCCTCGCCAAAGAGCGTGAGCTACAGAAGAGAGAGGAAGAGCTGAACAAGCAGCAGCAAAGCCAACAGAGCGCGCAGCTGCAGCAGCAGCTTGAAAGAGCTTCCAGTGACGAAAAGGACATAGCGGAACTGGTAGACGATGAGGGGCTTTATCAGAGGGAGGCTTCGCTGCAGGAACGAGAGAAAAGCGCGCAGCAGCTGCTGCAGGAACAGCAACTGCAACAGCAGAAACTTGAGCAGCAGCGACTAGAACAGCAGCAGAAGGAGCAGCAGTTGCGGCAGCAACAGGAGGACCTGCAGTTACACCAGGAAAAGCTTAATAAACAGCGGGATCAGCTGCGGAAGCAGCAGGAAGAGCAGCAAAAGAAGGAAGAGCACCTACAGGCCGCGCAGCAGCAGCTGCAGCACCAGCACCAGCAGCACGAAAAGGACATACTGGCATTAGAGCGGAGGCTTGAGAGTCTACTGCAGGAACAACAGGAGCATGAAGATGTGCAGCAACAACGGAAGCAGCTGAAACAAGATCAGCAGCTGCTGCAGCAACAGCAAGAGCAGCTGCAACAACTCGATGCAGAACTCACGGAACAGCAGGAGCTACTGTCGAAAGAACGCACGCAACTGCAGGCCGTTGCAGAGCAGCAGCAGGCGCACTTCCGGATGCTGCAGCAACAGCTGCAGCAGCAGCAGGAGCAGCAAGCGCTGTTGCAAGAGCAGCAACAGCTGCAGCAGGAACAGCAGCAAGTGCTAATGCAGCGAGAGCGCAAATTGTTACTTCACAGAGAGCTAAGGATGGCTGCGAGGTTGCAGCAGAAGCACCGAACAGACAGACGTGGCAGCAGCCATAGCAGCTGCAGCAGCCGCAGTAGCCGTAGCAGTAGCAGAGACACAGCAAAGGGGAGTGCGTTTCTTGAATCGCCTGAGCCCCTTCAACAGAGGCTTCAAAATTACCAAGTGCAGCAACAGCAACTTGTGCAGCAGATGCAGCAGCAGCAACAGCTTCTGGAACAGCAGGAAGACGTACTCCAGCATCAGCAGCAGCAGCTGCTAGAGCTCCGAAGCGAGAAGGCAAGGCTGCAAGAGGAGCTGCAAAACCGGGCAGACAGCCAAACAGGTACAAGGGAGCGTTACTGTTGCTGCACTGTCTTATTTGTTGCTGATGCAGCAAAATTTCTGCAGCCTCAGATGTGCGTGCTTCATCGTTGCTGTTGCCGCACTGTCTTATTTGTTGCTGATGCAGCAACGCTTCTGCAGCCACAGATATGCGTGTTTCGTCGCAGGCCTGGCGCAGCACCAGCAGCCTGAGGCCCGCAGCACTGAGCAGGAGTTGCTGCAGCAAGTGTCGGCCATGCAGCGGGAGTTGGACAACCTTGAGAAGATCCAGCGCAGTTACGAAGCGGAAAACGTGCAGCTGACTCAGGCAAGGGCCTCTACAGAGATGAGCACGCAGTACTGTAGCAGCCTCTCTGCGTGCAACAGCACCAATCGTAGCACCTCCCGCTGCTGCTGCAGCAGCTCGTCGCATAGGTCTTGTTTTTCCGTAAATCCTTTCGATTTCGATGTATGCTTCTGTGTACTGTTTGTTGTCTAATACAGCGGCTGAAAGAGCAGCAGGAGGAGCACCAACAGCAACAACATCGGGAACAACAGCAGCAGCAGCAAGTGCAGCAGCAACTGCAACGTCTTGAGTTCCTCCTTTCATCAAAGCAGGATGAGCTGCAGCAGCTGCAGCAGATCCATAGGCAGCAGCGGCTGAAGCTGGAGGCAGCAGAGCACGACAACGCATTGCTTCACGTGAGCATGACACTTTTTTTCCTCTCTAAAAGCTGCTTCTGTCCCTCGGCCGCCCCCCGAAAGTTGTGCCCTACCATTGGCACGTCGCTTCTGTTGTTGCTCTTCATTTCAGGAGGAGCTGGAGATGCGCTCCCGGCTCGCGTCGGCGGCCCTTGCAGAGGCAGAGCAGCAGCTGCGGCAGCAGCAACAACGAGGCGTGCATGAAGACGGTGCAGATCAGGACGCCCAGCAGCAGCAGCAAAATGCTGTTGCAGTGGCGAAGGAGCTGAAGGATTTGCACGAGCTGGTCATTTGTGCTGTGAGGGCCTTAGTCGGACACATGAAAAGCGATTCTAGACAGTTCTAGTCACACTTGATTCTTCCTGACACCAGGAGCTGCTGCAGATTTAAGCATTCTTGCTTGCACGGTGGGTGCACCCTTTGTCTGCCTCTTTTCTCGGTTTGTGTGGCAGGAAGCAAAGGCTGCGGGGGAGCGCATTCAGCTGGAAGAGGAGCTCAAGCGGCAGCGGGATCATTTTGAAAAGCTAATTGCTGCCAAAGACACAGAATTCCAGAAGTGTGAATAAAGCTTAGGGTTAAGGGTCTGTGGGGCTGCTTGCTGCTGTTCTCGTGAATTGTAAATATTAGCGCTCTTGTGCGTGTGAGCCTGCTGCTTCTGTTACTGCGTCTTTGTCTTTCTAGTAGAGGCTACTTCGTTTGCTGCTGCTCTTCAGGCTCCTGCGGTCTATGGGAAGGGCTCGCGGCGAAACTGAGTGCAACGAGGGAGATATGAGCACCACCAGCAGCAGTTCTTCTGTACTGCAGCGGCGTGACAGCCCTCTACAGACACGCGAAAGCCTACTTCCAGCAGCGGCTGAAACGACAGAAACGGCTGTTGAAGAGAAGGAGACAGAAGAGAAAAACGATAGGGAAGAACTACTGCAGAGGCTCAAGAAGCTAACCTGTGCCACAGCAGCAAAGGAGCGCCTGTTGCAGGTATGTGGCCGTAGGTGGTGTCATGCAGCTGCGCTTGTGCGTGTAACAAGTGCCAAGCAGCACCTGCTGCGCAGCAGCGGCTGCGTGGCTGCACGTTATAGGGCCGTGGGTGTGGTCCGTGTTGCTTCACAGAGTCGCATTAAGTCACTGGAGCAGCAAGTAGTTTCGCAGCGGGCCTACTACCAAGCGAGACTCAAGCCTGTGACCAGCAGCGCGCCTTCCGGAAAATGCATATCTGCAGCAACCAGAGGTAGCGGGAGCAACCCTGACAGCAGTCATACCTCTAGCAGCAGCAGCAGCAGCAGCAACAGCAGTAACACCAGCAGCGATAGGGCAGTGCTATCGGCTCGTGGTCCCTTGTTCCCGCTACTACATCACGAGAACTGCGCCTTGGGGACTCTTTTCGCCTTTTGGCAGCTGTGTGAGCTGACATATTCTGATTCCCTGTTGAATATACACCGGCAACAGATACAACAGAAGCAGGAGCAGCAGCAGGAGCAGCAGCTTAGAGCCCTCGTCTCTCTCGTCTTTCCTTCTGCTTTTCACGGTCTCCAAAGAGTGGGTTTTAAAGACTTCGAAGCAGCACTTCAGCGCGTAGGGTGTCACGCGCGTCGCTCGGACTCAATCAGCGCATGGCTGCTACTCTCCGGTGCACAGCAGCAGCAGCATCATCTGCAGCAGCAGGGGAGCGCACTGGTGGAGCAACAGAGAGAGGCCGCAGAGGCCGCAGCAGCTGGCGCCTTTATTGATGGATCCACTCTTCTGCTGAGAGCAAAGGTATCCTCTGCACACTTAAAACTCGCGAAAAGTCACGTGCGCAGCAGCACCAGCAGCGGCAGCAGCAACAACAATCAAACGAGTGGTACCTTAATGCATGCTTTTTGTGCGCCTGCAGCAAACCGACCCGACTTTTCTATTTTTTCACTATGCAACATTGCTCAAACGCCTGCAGCACCAGCAGGACAAGAAGAAACGCCTTAAGGAAACGGCACAGCTTCTGAAACAGCAGCTGCTGCAAGCGCAACAGCAGCTGAAGCAGCTACAGCAGCAAGCTCCTGCGAACCAGCAGCAGCAGACTCTTCTTCCACAAAGCCAACATGCGCTGCAGCACCAAGCGCAGCTGCAGCAGAGGCAGGCTGACTCCGCCGCCAGTGCTGCTGCAGTCGCTGCCCCACCACCCCTCCAGCAGCCTTGGCTGGAGGAGGCCATTGTGCCCACCAATGCTGTGAAGCTTTTAGAGCATCAGCAGCTGATAGCGCCTTCTGTGTGGTCACCGAGGCCTGAAATGTACATACAGCTGCTACAACAGGCTAATGCCGCGCTGCAACAGCAGCAGCAGCTTCTGCAAGAGAACTGCACACTAAGGCAGCAGCTTGCATCGTGCAGCACCAGCGTGGTAGCAGTGCCGAGGGGTGGCCACCAGCAAGATGTGCAGGAAGCGGTAAGCAGAGGGGCTGCAGCGCGACTACCACCATTAGGGCAGGTAATGACACCGCAAGTGTATTTGTGTTATTTTGTGCGCTGCGCTAGCGACTTAAGTTAGTCGAAAACACGACAGTAATCTCCTACTTTCGTCTTGGTTGTGGTCTGTGGTCGCTACTACTGCGTTGTTTTGTGCAGCAACAGCGAGTTGTGGCGCTACAGCAGCTGTTGGCCGATCTTCTGCAGCGCCTTAAACAGAAGCAGAAGGCTCAGCAGCTACAAGGAGTCACTGCAGCGCAGCCGCTGTAGTAGTACTCAACTGCTGTGGCTCTAAAGTGGAACTCCTACAGCAGCAGCTGCCGCAGCTGCAGAATTCAATTCCTGCAGTAGCAGCATGCCCGGGCACTGCTGCTCTTATTCCTTTTTTTATGCTTAGGGCGACTCAAGTATGAGCAAGGGTTCTACGTGGAGATGCAAAATAGTGTATCTTTGCCCCTGATCATGGGAAAGCTAGTAGTCCTAGCAACAGCAGCAGCGACTGCTGCTGTTACCAAAGGTAGCTATTATTAGTTACAACGTGGCTACATGGTGGCTGCTGCTCTGTGCTTGTTTACTGTGGTACGTATACTCGGGGTGTAAGACAGGTCGGGAGGCATCATTGTAAAAATGCGTGATGGGGTTCACGTTGGCAATGTAGAGAACACAAATATCTAAAACGTGTGGGGAGCACAGAGAAGCGGCTGTCTTTGGGCCGCCGAGGTGGTACGGCAGTTGCTGCTGCCGCTCCTTATCTTGACAGGAAACAAAAGACTAGAAGATTGTGGGAAATCCGAGATGGACACTCTCTTGTTTGTTGCCCTAGACTGAGCTCATGAGTCCGTACTGTCTATTGTAATTATGCTGTGCTGCTTAAGCCGTATCGAGTGCAACGGCCACAGCAGCACAGCAGCTACTTTAGCAACAAGTCAGCAGGATCTTTCATGTGCTTCGAAATGCGTTTGTTGCACTCCGCTGGAGTTGGAGGGCTTAAGCCCGCTAGGCGCATGTCACTTTGCAGCATCTCATACACCAAGGCCTGAGGCACAGCGCCACAGCAACAGCGAAGGAAGCAACGACCGATCATTTAGAGAAGAAAATAAACTCGGTGGCCAGGGAAACAACAAAATAAATGTTCCGTTGCCGGAGCTGCAATTTAGGCTGCTGCTTCCGCCGCGGCTTCCTGTCCCACTGCTTTGCGTGCTGCCGCTGATTGGGCGCTTACTGAGAAAGTTGTGTCGGGCTGCCACTTTAGTTCTTTACGAATTCTTGATGCGTCTCCTTTCAAAGCATTAACTTCTGTGGGACGAAAATGTGCAGAGGCCACACGCACGAGTATTCGGCCCCCGCAGGTGCCTACCTCCTCTAGGCCTTTACCCTTCCACCTACAGGGACGAAGACAGACAGAAGCAATTTCACAGACCTATTGTTCATGAAAAGCTAGAAAACTGACAAGCACAAGCAACTGAGAAGCTCAGCTGTGCTGAAGAGAGAGCTGAAGTGCTTTGTGCAGGCAAGGCATGGCATTATCAGCAGGCTCACTCAATGGGAAGATCCGCAATAGCAAAGGCCAGTTGGCAGAATTCGCGGACTGAATGCTGCTTTCCTGCGCAAAGTACATGGCAGCACTAGCAAACGCCCGCGATGCCCAAGCAGTTCAACTCCCCACTAAAAGTAGGCTTTTCAGAAATTTTCTTTCATTTGCTAATAAGTCGAATGGAGAGCTACTTGCCTGTAGCAACGACGTAATCTTTCGGGGTCGGTTGCTGCAACATCAGCCACATGCTCTTTACGTAGTCGCGCGAATGACCCCAGTCTCTCCGAGCTTCTAAGTTACCCAGTTCAAGACAGTCTATCTCTCCCTGCACGCAAGACGCAAAATGCGGAGAACAGAAATGTGTGCGGACACGATATTGCAAGTAAGAGACCTACGCGCACTGAAAGCTGGCGAAATGCATCGAACAAAATAAGCTCTTATGACTGTTTTTCACGTATTGGGGTTCCCCAATGCGTGAAAAAAGAGTTTTAAGGGAGAGTGGCTTTTACGGCAAGGACAACCTCTCTAGCTCCTTCCCGGGGCGCAGCCGTCTTATATCGCAGAGAGCTTACTTTCAAGATGCTAGCTATGCCCATTGTGATCTTCCTTGAAACAAAAGTTGTTCCTCTTCGAGGACTCTCGTGGTTAAAAAGAATGCCACTAACACAGAACATTCCGTACGCCGACCGGTAGGTTTGCACAGTGAAGTGCCCGTAGAGCTTAGAAACACCTGTGGAGAACAACGAGGAAAGATGCCCACACTGGCTTTGTGGACGGTGAATTTTGCTATACACACAGCTTGTAGAGCAAAGGGCGGGCTTGTGACCTCCCCGTTCTTAAGAACATCGGCATACCGTAAGGCGAACAAGGCTTGAATGGGGTATCTTCGTTCTGTAGGTCCCAGTCACTTGACCCAAACATTTCGGAAGATGACGCCTGAAACCTGTGCCACATACATGCGCGCAATACTGCAACTAACGCGCCTGTCACTCCTAGATCGTCAGTTACAGACGCTTGTGGCTTGAAAAGAGCCCTGTAGCGAATGGGAATTAGATGCTCAGATTTGTACAGGCATACAAGAGGGGCCAGTAGCCACTGCTTCTGCAGAATTCGGACACCGCACGTTGCTTCTTCGGGAGTGTGTATCGAGACAAACACTAAGCTCGCTGAGAGTAAGTTTACGCTCACACTCGCGTCCTTTGTGCGAGGCCAGCAGCCCGAATGGCGTCCAGCAAGCGCAGAACACCAACTGCCGTAGCGTCGGTGGTGTGTATAGGCATTTCAAATGAGACCTTCACGTGGCTCTGCATAACACGCAGCGTAGATCCATCTGCATCTCTTTAGCAACGCTGCATCTTAAGACAAAAATGACATTACAAGCTGGAGTAGTAGAACGGAGCCCCTGCAAACGACAAACCTGAGCAGCTAGATTGTACACCTCGTGAGGACGAACACGAGAGATAATGTCAAACAGGGATGACGAATCCACCATGTCGCCAAAGTGCAGGTGAATTCCTGAGGAAATGGATCGCTCATATATGGGCAGGTGAATAAGTAGGCAAAAGACTGAGTGAAGCTGGAAGCTCATGTAGAGGGCCGCCTCTACGGAAGGCAAACTCTTGAGCAGCGATTGCGGCGAAGGGATGAATCGTACTCTGTGTTACTGGGAGTAGCCTCTCAGTGTTCACAGTACTGCTGCGACGAATGATGCCGTGGACTTCATATCCCTTCTGCAGCAGCAGCTCGCTGAGGTAGCTGCAAGACAACCACCAGCAATCGCAAAGGAATGAGTCACAGATTCAGTGGTCCCCCAGAAGCAGTCCACGCACAGGATGTGGTGCAGCCCGCGAAAAGGTTTAGTATTAGCACGGTGTTGGAATTCACAGTGATCTGCCTGCAAGTCCAGCGCACAGTTTCCTTGGAACTGACATCAGCTTTGGCAGCATCTGGACTCACGAGCCATCCTGTCCCGTAATCCCCGTAATAAGAGCTCTGCGAGGTTCCGGCATAGTCAGAAGAATATGGGGTGAACGTTTGTCTAAGATGTTGTTTCAAGGCTCTACCAACTTGTGGTGGGCGCTCTGCCCGAGAGAGCTAACTGCTCCCCTGGCTTCTGCTGGCCCAGATGCACATGGGGGCCCCCCTATACGGCTCGGTGGCCACTTTACAATGAAGAGTTGGGCAAACACCAGAAACCAAGTTAGGGAGTTGAAGGAGGGCAGTAAACACTATGTAAGTGCCGCAGCTGTTTCGCTCACTGCAAGCTCGTGCATGAGGGGGGTGACTTATAGCTTGTAGGGCAAGAAAAAGTCCCCTGGAGCTTTACCGTCACTAAAAAGATAAAATACAATGAAGGGCTTGAATAAAAACTAATACATTCTGATCAAGTGGAAATTTGCCGCCCACCTCAGCCGCCGACGGCCCGGCTCATATCGAGACTCGAGACTCGAAGGACCTTGCTGCGAAATGGTCCTTCTTGAGCACCGTCCTTATGACAGACAGATCTGCTCAATATGTGAATCCAGTTTTTAGGTCAAAATGATTTCCAGCCATCTGCAGAGTCCGTTTTCCACTTAATGGGCCGTTCAACTGGCAAGCCGGGCTGACGGTGCTGTTCTACACGGCGCGTCAGCTGCGTTTGGCTAAGAGTGCATCGAAGCAACAAGATTCTTAAGAGATGCTGCTTATTTCCATTTGCAGTCAGCTGTAGAATGAGCTGTCAGTTTGCATGCTGGGCACCCTACGTCCCCGGTTCACCTGCAACTGGTGAAAATTTATGTTTTATTGATTGAGAGGGGAAGTGCATGCTCAAGGTAGCCCATTAAGAAATATATGAACGCGATATTCTGCCTCATCTAAGTTTATTGTGACCTCCTCAGCAGAACTTGCTCTCAGAGAGTGTGCAAGCATGACAAGTGTGCCCAACTATTCGGATACTCAAAGAGTGTATTTTGTGGCCAGTTAGCCTGATATCTCCGCTTGAGGCAGTTTTGAAGATTCACTAGAACGAAATGCGGTTGCACAGTTCATCCGCCTGAGGGCTTCACTCTTCATTACTTGGAGAGTGTATGTCTGGCATATCTTGAGCCCTGTAGTGGGCATAACAAGTTTTATGAGGTGGCGCTGGCTTATCTTGTCAGATCTTGAAATGTAGGCAGCTCCAATCCGATCTTAACTGGACCTTGTTCCCAGTGAAATCCATGACAGAGCATAAATGATTTTGGACACTTCATGAGGCCGGCCTCATGTCTAAAGTTTAAGGTCTTGTGGGACTGGATTCAAGAGAGCTAATAGAGCGAGCATTTTCCCCAGCACAAGGCACGTCTGTTAAACTACAAACGTTACATATCGTTTCCTGATGTGGCTCAGACACCCCTCAGTTTACGGTAAGTGTCTATATTTCTTGTCGGGCATTCCTCAGATGATTTGACGTAGCATTGGATACTCGCCACGTTTGAGAAGCTTGATACAGCTTTCACATGTGTACGCATGCTATTACGTTTGGGAATGCTGTCCTGTAGATGCCACGGAAGTACTACGTTAGATTGTGGTGATACATACTTGTGATATACTTGAATTGCCTGCATAAAATTCCTTCGTACGCTGCACCTACTAAAGGTTTTTTATCTAACGGGATTCTTTGCACGCTCTACTGAATTCGGTGTAAAACGCGCACAAATTATATTTCACATGTGTTGCATTTTCGGCGTTTTTGGTGGCAAAGGTAACCAAGCAAGGGGGAGACATAGCATGACATGCCAGTACACCCTGCTCATATTGCTGGCAAACTGAAAACTCAAACACAAACAAATATGTATTGTCGTTTCAGTATACACATCTTGACCAGGCATATCGAGCATACTCATATGGTACTACACAACAGTGATTAAAACAGATTTCGCCATGCCACGGATTCTTCACAAATAGACAAAGAAGCCAGGCAGCAGACAAAAACTGCATTGTCGCTTTTGCAAGACTGGTGAAGTCCAGACTCCTTTTAGAAGTAATGCAACGCACTGTGGTACATTTCGGCACCGCATTCCCATCACGTTTCAAGTCCTTATCTGCTTCTATTCTCAAACCACGTGTGAAAAAGCCTGCGGGCAGAAATTTGGGATCCACCGCCTGTCAGAAAACGCCCATTTACTGCGCTGTCAGAGAGGCGCGCGCATTTTGTTCAAGAATATTCACTGCACCGAGCTCAGCTCCAAGATCAAAGGAGTGACTGCTCTGTATTCCCTACAGCACCCAGTTCTATTCTCCAAGGTCCTCTGCTGCAGTTTCTGTTATTTTCGGAGCTCCTTAGCGGCTGCTACCTGTTTATCAGCAGCAGCCGTTTCCCGAGTCTCAGCACCGTCAACAGAATTTTGCACACGTTCCTAGTTTCCAGAAGGCGCCACTAGCTCCTCCACTTCCGTTGCTAATTATGTTGGCTGTTTGAAAAGCTGTGGTAAAGCGAACAAAGGTTGGGCAGCGCTTGCCTCCGAAGCCTTGGCAACAGCAAATTCTTATCGAGCAGCAGGGTTCTCTTCTTGTGCTTCTGGGGTTCCCGTTGGTGCTGCTTCACCCGTCGCTTCTTCCTCAGGCAAATTTGCAGCATCAGCCTGCCCAGCTGTGTCATTCTCACTTGGGGCCGTGGACTCTGCATTGACAGTCTCATCAACCGGTGCAGCAGCTTGAGGCTTGTCCGCGGTTCCTGGGACTTCTGATTCGCTCGCTGGGGTGTCGCTGTCTGCCTGTTGCAGCTGTTTCTGCTGCTGCTGGTAAGCCATGGTGTCATACATGCTCTTAAGGAGGGTAGCGCCTCCTGCAGCAAAAAGCCCGAGGTGCGTCTTGGATAGGTATTCTCCGAGGATCTTGATGAGTTCGCTCACATTCAGAGTTGACAGATCGACACCCGCCCCAGACATGGTGACCAGCATGGCAATCACACCAAAGAGCAATGTTAGGCGGCCCTTCAAGGTAGGGGCTTTGCTGCCTGTCTGTCCATTCTGGTTGGCCCTGAGGCTGCGGGCCAGCTCAATGAGACCTGCAAAGATGCATCCAAAGGCCATCTTTGAGGCCGATTTAACCCCTAGTTTATCCATTAGTTCTATGGACTGTTGTACAGTGGTTTCGAACGAGGTTTGCGCAGTTCGCGTCACTTTGCTTTTTTTGTTCCCTGCCAGAGATAGGCTAACGCCCGTAATGAGGAGAACTATGCCAAAAAGCACCAGCATGCGGCCTTTGGATGCACCAGAGCCTATCAAGTTGCTGATATCAGCATTGAGTTTTTCCTGTACATCCTGTGGTGTGCTTTGCTGTTCCGTTTGCACAGGCTGTAAGGCGGCCTCTATTTCCGTTACATCAGCTGTGTCTGCACGCGTGGCACCACCAAGCACCTGCAGTGGAGCCGAATTAGACTCTTCAGCTGAGGCTTTGTTCACGGGCTTGCCATTTTTGGGTTTGGAGTCGGTTTCTTCAACCAGTAGAGGACTGAGGTCCCCTGTTGCCGGCGTCGCCACCGTGTAGGCGGCGCTCCCTACTAGAAGCAGAGCTAGAAGGCTCTTTCTGATCTGCATTTTTTACTTTCAAAATGTCAGCCCGAAACAAATCAATTCAGGCTTGAAAACTAGCAAATATACAGTGCGTCAATGACAGTGCAGCGGTCGGCGCAAGCTCTGGTCAGGGGACCGGCGACGTCTGTCGCTTAAAAAAAATGAAAGAGACGGAAACTTCGGCACCTGGAGGGGCACAAAACTCTGTCTGATTTTGAGCAAATATTCAAACCTAAAAATTAATAAAATTTCTCTGCTTCAAGAGAGGAAAGGAAAGAGAGAGCCCCCTATTTTGGCGGTCGGCTGGCGGGAGCGTGATTCGGACCGCTGGCGCCGGCGTGCTTTCTGCGCTGTCCCCTAAAATCTGAGTAGTCCACAACTGCGCTGTTATGCAGGAAGGCTTTTTTGGCATTTTTCCTGCCTCATTTCATTGCGGCAGAGGAAGTAGGCCCTTTCCTATTGCCTGTATTAGGTCGCTGCCGTATGTCTCCGCGCCTAACCCCCCGAGTAAGCAGTTCTGATGGTCCATTCACTCTTAGAGTATAAATGCTGCATTAGTATGAAATAATTACAAACGGAATCTAGCAATAAGTTTTCATGAAAGTGCAGCGATCCACAAGGCGTGCCTGGATCGTTGATTCGGTGCATAAAATTGCACAGGAAACGTTGCATGAGTGACTCACTGGGAGAGAAGACTGGCACACTATAGCTCCACCATAGAGCTCTCGTTTGGATGTTAATTGAATAATCTTTAGTGGATGAAGTGGCTCAGCGCTGTGATGTAGTAATCTACATTGCCCTAAACACCCGCCAATGCAGCACAGGTAAGGCCTACCAGAAAGACTGCCCGAGTTCACAGAGGAAACGGACAGATCGCAGCCATTAGTAAGGGCACTCTCTGACCCAAAGGCCCAACGTTTCACCCTTCTCTTTTGGGCATCCTTGTGAGGGGACTTCTCCTTCTGAATTGACGTATGCACGTTTCGTGGAGACAATGAACACTGCTCGCAATCAGATCGGGACGTTCAGGGGTGGGAACTGAGTCTGCAGCTCCTGTGTACGCCCCAGTTTCTCCCACTTTATGTCTGTCTGCACGCACAGAACCCCGATAAGTGCGCCGCTTTCCTCAGGAAACTTCCTGGCCAGTTACACAAATTGGTAATGAACTGTGTAAAACAAAGAATGACATGGGAGTTGTTAGACCCTGCGAGCTCTGGAGCCGAGCCCTGGTCTTAGGAATGACAGCGACCTCGTGTACTGCAGCGAATCTCTCCATGCCAAAGAGACACTCGTTGTGAAGAACGTTCAAGTCTAATTTGGTCCCTTTAAGTGCTCCCAGCTTCTCCATCATTTCTACGCCAAGTGCTTGGTCTATTTAACCGTGTGTAGTGCTTTTTTGCAATGTAGCACTGTTTACATTAGCCCTCAGCTTTTTCGCAAGTGGGTACTCAACTAGGCCTGCTCCACCGCAACTCAAGTATGATCCACTACTATATATCTGTCTCACGTTCCATATTTAGGCCCAGAGATTTACTCTGGACCCACTCAGCCAATGGCGATGCGAGCCCTCGACCTTCTACAGTGAATGCACCACAAGAAAACAATAGGTCTAAACATCTCGAAACTCGTTAAGTAACGGTTCATCAGCGCCAGTCTACTTTACTACAGGATACGGCTAGAATCAAGTGCGAGGGAGATTACACCGAATAGACGCCAAAATTCGAACCTCAGTTGGAGCAAGGTGCCAGTATAAAAAGAGATCTCAAGGTCTCTATTATGCAAAATGTTTCGTGCGATTTAGGTAAGCAAAGAGCGAATGGCGGAATCGTGGGACCATCACTATGCGAGGAGACAGCGGAAGACCTGGCTCGCACCTAAAAACGTAGTTGGTCTTCAAGCAGAAGTACCTGCAAGGGCAAACGGGCCGTACAGTCGAACAAAAGGAAGGAAGCGGTACAGTAACAATAGTAAAATATCTAGAGAAGCCCATCCACATGCTCTAGCTGTAAAGCGAGAGAAGATTGGCGCCCCACTAGGCACGAGAGGACCAACGGGCTCGGGGTGATGTTCCAGCTATGCTTTAAAATGCGGTGCTACACAAAAAACGCCCTCGATCATGATAGAACTTGCGAGGAGTCGTGTGAAAGGGAAAGGCCTCCACCCACTGCCAGTGGTGAAAGTGGATTCAAACCCCTGAAGTAGCGCTGCAGAACGTTGGTAGAGTCTGCGCGCTCCAGATACATGCTAAAAAATGTGGTGCGAACTTCTGCGGCACGAAACAACACCGCAGAGTCCCCCCTTGACTGGCGAACAAAATTAGATACTTCGGAGTGAAGAGGATGAGGAGCTTTTGAGTGCAAAAGCTCCTTCCCAGGAAGCCCCGGAGTAGCGCAACCCAGCGTTAGAAACAACCAGCACGCCTAATTGGCAGAGAACGCTGGGGTGAAGGCGAACTTCTAGGTACCGTAGAGCTAAGAGTCATCCCGCCCGAAAGCAGAGGCTGCCTGCAACAGTGGCGGTTCCAGATGCTGAATGTAAAGCAGGCCAGTGCGGGCACGGCCCTGCTGTGTGGTGTGTGCAGAGCAACAAATACCTTCTATCGAAGACATTTGGTCACGCCTGTGAAGCCGTCTTGGATACTGGCGCATCGCATAGCTCTACAGCCTCACTGGCTGTACATTGAGAACAGCACAGGTTAAAGAGGCTCTGTTAGGAATGTGCCTTCAGCGCGTGTGACGGACGAGAAGTTGCGCATTGACTATGCAGTGACAAAATCAGTGATGTGCTGCGATTGTGGATAATTTTCCTGCGAGTTTCTGATGGGACGTCTTCCGCATGATGCCTGCTGAGCGTTCGACTGGGCACAGCAAGATATGGTAGCCAAGCACTTGCTGCTAGACATTCTGGGAATCTACAAAAGTGGCATATCCTGCGACTTTTCCGTAAAACAAGCTAAAGAAAGGCATAAACAAAACGACCGGCAGGAACCGGCAGGATCCAAGACACCTGTGGAGCGGGCCTGGGAGATGCTGGCGAGGCGTGTGTCAGAAGTGGCCATGGAGGAGACGGCGGCACTGCGTCGGCCGTCGAGACATCAGATTTGAAGTGCAGCACGATAATTATGAGGAAACATCATTTTATATATTTCGTGCGTGCTTTAAAGAAGAGGCGCGCCGCTTCGGTCAGTGAAGACGGCCCCAATTTGGACCTGCTCCTTCCAGCTCTCGCACGACTCCATAGCAGTGTGCTAGCTACAATAGCACGAGTTCCACAATTTTTAGTACCAGAACCATTTTGCCGGCACCAGAATGCTAATATGAATTTGGTTTGCGTCTGCACTATGACTATAGGGACTCTGACCCACTACTGAGGCGTACCCGTCGGTGGGTGCTTCTGCAGTCTAATTCTATCCAGTTTTTTATTAGAGGCCCTGTTTTAGTGAATAAGCATTGAAAAGTAGGGCGGATTACTCATCAACGTTTCCGCCCGTCAGTATGCTCTTGCATTTGATGGTCAAGAGGCTTACAGAGCCGCTGACCGAATCCTAGCTTTTCCTCAAGAGCATCGAAAAATCCACAATAAATGCTTTGAATTACCTTGGAAAATATGTCGAAAACTGAAAGTGGGGTCCCAGGTCTGCGCTGGAAGGCTGGCGATTGCGCTTTGGGCCGCAGTGCCTCAAGCACCCCTTCAGCCATTCTAGGTCAGCAGACCGACGCAGGGCAATGCAGCTCTTAGCAGACTGGAAATAAACCCATATTTGAATTATTCGATGCTAATATGAGTGTTTTCAACGAAAAGGAGGAAGTTACGCCCTTCGGCCAGTAGCAGTAGGACAAACCAGGATATACACCCCATAGACAGGGAGCCGGGAAATCTCGAGCTTCGAGGAAAGTGGATGTTCCAATGTGGCTTAAAATCAAGTATTTGAGAGTTTATTTTAATCCTTATCGGGGCCAAGTCCCCCGCGCGTGATGAAATATGGTCGGTAGGTCGGAAAAACCCTAGCGTGCTACCTGGGCGGGCCAACACGGTGAAGCTAGCTAGTTTACCGAAGGTATCGTCATATAGGAGTGTGTGGACTACTATGTAACACACAAAAAAATAATTAAAATCCTATGAAGGGCTACGGCCCTACAGACCCGCCTTTTGCGCAAGGCAGCGCCTTGGGGCCCCCAGGAGACCAACGGCGGACTGTTAAAAAACCAGGAGAAACTAGTAATGCGTCCGTTTCGTGCGCCTATGCTGGCTCCGCAAAACTTTGGAGAAATTGCTGTATAAAGTCTTTTTATGCTTGAACGGGCACGAGCTGTGGACCGCTGGAGGAGTTGCTATCGTACGCTGACAGGAATAGCGGTTGCGGTTATTTTGCGTGCTAATAAGTGAGCCCTCAGCATGATTAAAACCTGCATAGTAGGCGTTTGCAGTTCACAAAAATGTGAAGACCGTTTAAGCTGACGGGTAGGGGCTGTGCAGAGACGCAGATTTCCCTCAAGGTGTACAGCACCGCCTCAATGGGGTCACCTCCCGTCCCTCTAGTAGTCGCAGAATGATTGACTCACAATTTAGCAGCCAGTGCCTTTGAGTGAGCATCTTACATTTTTTCTTTTGCTTATATTGCGCTGAGTATCGCAGTGTATGGTGCCTCGTAGCTCCCCTAGGTTTAGATTTGCACCAGAGAAACCCGCCATAATCTTTCCACTTTGCAGTTGCGTAGTATGTAGTTGTCTCTAGGAACCCACAGAGCCTTTACCCAGACCCTGGAACAACACGAAATAGGAATGACGACTCTAGGTTGAGAATGGCGCAAAGTAGCAATGAGGCAAAATAAAATGGTGGGAGGGGATTCCGACTCGTAAAACAAGTCCCATGGCAAACTATCATGTTAGAAGATTAGGAAGCCAGAAGGCGTGTCTCGCACCTATGCTGAAAGATGAGCATTTTAGCCTCTACTGCGCTGCGAATGCACAAAATATCCAACGCATCTTGCTGGCTGGCTGCACTCTCACGCTTGAACGTAGATG